AAATGATGCGAGCCCTGCATGGAAACCAATGTGGGTTCATTTGACCAACAAACACAACGGTTGTGCCCAGTTTTTAAACAGAACGAGAGGATTTTAAGTTCAGGGGTCTGTCGCGATCGCTCTCCTTCTGTATTTACAGCAGCACACAGAAGCGGATTCAGTGACGTCAGTGTGAACTGGAAACGCTCCGGTTACTGACGTAACCTCGGTTCCGAGCGTTGTGTATGGGGAAACTCCTGTTTACACTGATACTGAAGCCTGATTTGTTCACATTTGTGTAGCTGCACAAACCAATGGCGCTCTAGCCCGCCAGAATGGGCGAAGCCGACCCCTATATAAGCGCCATTTCATCAGAATCATTCGACTGAAGCGACAGTCACCGATTCGCGTGCAGCTTGTAGCACGGCAAGTGACACAACGCTCGTTCCCTTATCTCAGGGAACCGAGGTTACGTCAGTAACCGGAGCGTTCCCTTTCGAACGTTCTCTCACGTTGTGTATGGGGAACGCATCAATCACGCCATGCTACGAGCAGATATAGAACTACCCGCTCTGCGAGTCCAGTCTAGGAGCACTTAATTAAGGACTCCAAAGAACATGAGCCAAACTGACTCCCAAGCACTGCTGAGGACTACAGATATAACTATTTCCACCCTCGGGGGAAATAAGCAACTAAATAGACAAAATCTGTGCCTGCTAGTCAGGGACGTCTAAATTGTAGAATCTGGCAAAAGTTGACGGCGACGACCAGCCGGCGGTCGCACAAATCTCACTTTTAGAAATTCCACTGGACCACGCCCAGGAGGAGGCCATTCCGCTGGTGGAGTGGTCCCTCACCCCTATGGGGCACTGCAAGCCTTCTGAGGCATAAGCCAAGGCTATAGCATCTACTATCCAGCAGGAAAATGGAACCGAGGTTACGTCAGTAACCGGAGCGTTCCCTTTCGAACGTTCTCTCACGTTGTGTATGGGGAACGCATCAATCACGCCATGCTACGAGCAAATATAGAACTACCCGCTCTGCGAGTCCAGTCTAGGAGCACTTAATTAAGGACTCCAAAGAACATGAGCCAAACTGACTCCCAAGCACTGCTGAGGACTACAGATATAACTATTTCCACCCTCGGGGGAAATAAGCAACTAAATAGACAAAATCTGTGCCTGCTAGTCAGGGACGTCTAAATTGTAGAATCTGGCAAAAGTTGACGGCGACGACCAGCCGGCGGTCGCACAAATCTCACTTTTAGAAATTCCACTGGACCACGCCCAGGAGGAGGCCATTCCTCTGGTGGAGTGGTCCCTCACCCCTATGGGGCACTGCAAGCCTTCTGAGGCATAAGCCAAGACTATAGCATCTACTATCCAGCGGGAAAGTCTCTGCTTCGTAACCGGCAGCCCTTTACAGCGGCCTCTGAAGCAACAGCTGCTCTGATTGTCTGAAAAG